CCCTGACTTAGCCAATGGAATAACATGCATAAGGTTTTAAGGTGGGAGAAAGGCGGAAGCTGAATTTTTTTCTCTCCTGCATCCGAATTTAGCAGTTGTAGGAGCAATGCAAACAACTATGTCATTTAGCAGTGAAAGCAACCAGCCCGGCAGCTTCAGCAGAACTGCTGGCTTCTGATATCTGGTGAGGGGGCAAGTGGGTTCCTGTACTTTTGCTCCGTCATGCAGTGTCCATTGGTTCTGGATAGCAACACTTTCTTTTCTGTCCCTCCAGCTCTAGTGATGGTAGTGGCTCACTGCCATTGCTAATCATCTCCCCTTTTCTACTCTAGCCCTTCCAATGCTTTGGTAACCAGTTCTTTGTATTAAATCACCTTTGACGGAGATAATGACTGTGGTTGCTGTTTCTCCGGATGGATATATACTGATGCACCTTCCACTACCTTTGAAACTTTGAGTATTTGACTCTTCGCTACCTCAACTGGAAAATGAGGGAGATAATCCTCATGCTACTCTAAACATCTAATGCACTAATGTTTGTATAGGTTCCCTGAATATTATAAATTACTTTGCATGTATAAATGATCGTTAGATAACATATTTTTGTGGAGGGAAGGTACTATGGTGTTTGAATACATGGTCTCTGTCTGGGTTCATATTCACTGAAGCTACTGTTCAGCTATGAGAAGTTGGCTGAGTAGAGTAGTATACTTCTCCAAGCTTCCCTAGGTAAAATGGGGTGATAATAGCACTTATCTCATCAAATAGGGGGTTTGAAATGAGATATCACAAATAAAGAGAATAGCTCAGTGACTGGTACATTATAAAAGCCCAATATTTTTATTATCATTCTGTGCAGTTGGTGGCAGTAGTGGGGTAGTAGTCTATGGGAGAGAGCCATACAATGGAGCTAAGAGAGAATTAGCAACCAATCTGAACAAATGGTAAAAAAACAGATTAATGTAAAAGCAATTTACTTCTGTAATCTAATAGACAAAACAGAAGTGAATAAACTTGTATGATTATAAGAAAAGAAAAAAAATTAAAACCAGTTCTTTAAATCCCAGAATATGAAAACATTGATTGTGTTTACCTTTATAAATAATTGTAACTTATTGATCATTGAGGATGTATATATTATGTTCATTGTAGATACATTTAAAAGTGTACAAGCATAAAAATAAAAGAATAAAATATTCTAACTCTAGTACCTGGATATGATTATGCTAATATCTTATTATAGATGATTCTAATCCTGACCCTGTTTAGTGAAAGCTATACACATGAGACAAGTGTATCTTTTCCAGTAACTCTCGTTTTGGGTATTGTATGAAATATTTCTTTCCTTCAGAATAATTAGATAACTTAAGAAAAATGGTCCAAGTGCCTACTGAAGGCATGGCTCTGTGTCTAACCTATAATCATGCCTTCAAATTAGGACCCATATTTTTAACCACTTTATCCAACTAGAATTAAAAAAAAATTAACATCAATGTTGAAATTGAAGTCCTCGATGCTGCATCTCTTCTGAGGCAGAGATAGCTAGCTAGCTGTTGCCACGACCTGCACGGCGGAGTTCAGGATCTGCAGGAAGGGCCGACGCACAAAAGAAAATGCTAGACAAAAATATGAATTATTAAGGGGTGGGGGCCAGGTGGAGTCTCTTTCTTGAAGAGGCACACCGGGTCCTGGCCTTGTCCACTTGTATTCAGTTTTAGATACACATCTTGCCCTCAGTAAAGCACGGCAGTTACGCAGCACAGTCTCAGAGGTCAGTCAAGATCAGTAAGGTCCAGTAAACATTTACTTGGAGGCTCTCAGGCCAGGAAATTGCTTTGAGCCACTACAATCTCAACACGAACAATCGGTGCTAGCCTAGCGTAAGCCCTTCTAACGCTCAAGGTCCATGGGCCTCTCGCGTTCCTTGGTGCATGTTCATGATAGTGCTGGTATGCGGTGGCTTCTGGCAAGCTGTCTAACCAGAGAGTCCTGCTTCTGGTGACAGCAGGAAGCAGCTTCCCAGGCCTGGCTGCATTTCTCAATCCCTCTTTCATCTAAGGCAGAATCAACTATATGCCTGGTTCTTACCAATTATAGATCTCTATTGCTTTTGGTCTAATGAATTGTTGCTTAACAATCTAAAGATTGTTTGCTTTCTCCACTTTTTCTCTTCTGTCTGGACCCTAGGGGACGGTGGAGCCATAGATAGAAGGTGAATAAGTCCCTGAAACACTGTATGGAGGAAAGTTTTGGCAGACCAGTAAAACACGCATTAGGCTGATATAAGTAAGAAATAAATTTCTGTTGGATTAAGTCACTGAAATTAGCATTATCTTAATATACATCTCATGCCTACATTGCATGTTCTTTCTTCATCCGCTTCCTTCTCTTCAATTTCTTCCTTGTATTTGTTGATCTTTATATTTTCCATAGCTCCTACCACACAGTGCCTTCTATATAGTAGGCACTTAATTGTTGTTAATTAAAATTAGACATGTTTCCTGGACTAATAAAAATCCTTAAAACGAGCTTGAAACAGTTTCAAGGCAGCATATGGAAAAATGCAATATTCTTGTGATATAGTACAGACTGGGTAGAAGAAAAAGTTTATTGTAACTAGAAAAAAATGCATATAATAATAAGCTCAAATGAAAGATTTATTTTCTATTTCTAGGAGGCAGTTAAAATAAAAGATTGGGAAAGATGGCATTTTTCTGTGGCAGGGAAGGCCTTAAATAAAATTGAGATAGCTTTCTCTTCCATTTTCATTATCTTTCTTACTGACCCCTTTCTTTCTTGTATTTCTCCAAACTTTTTATGTCCTTGTAAAAGAGAACATTAGAGAGCTCTCTTCAATTAACCCAGTGCATTTGACAACCATCTTTCCAAGGGCCTGTTCCTGCATTTGATAGGCACACTATGTGGTGAACATTTCTGACCTTGGGGTAAGGCAATGGCCTGCCTGGCCTATGAGGGGGCATTTTTCAGCTGATGGGCCTGCTGGCATCTCCCCTATGAATATGCAAATATTTCACTCCAGATATGAAAGATCCCATCTAACTCAATCATGCTTCAGATCTCAGAGTGGAGCTTCTGTCTGAATTACTTGTTATTTTAAAACTGACCCTCAACAAGAGGAGAAATTGTGTATTTTGTTTTGCTTTCTTAAATAGCTTTTAGTTCTAACACTAGAGACCCGGTGCATGAATTCGTGCCCAGGTGAGGTCCCTTGGCCTGGCTGGTGATTGGGGCCGAAGGGGGGCGGGTAGGGCCAGCTGGCCAGGGGGAGGGGCCGTGGGAGGTTGGCTGGCCGCAGGAGGCTGGCTGTGGGAGCACACTGACCACCAGGCGACAGCTCCTGCATTGAGCGTCTGCTCCCTAGTGGTCAGTGCACATCATAGCAACCCGTCAACTGGTCGTTCGGTCGCTTAGGCTTTTATATATATAGATTTAATTCACTAATGACTACAAATAAAATATATTTATTTTTTATTATGCAAAAAATCTAAAGACTTTCTGGATTGAGTTGATGACATGAAGAGCATTGCTAGAAACCACAATCAATTTGTCTGGCTTCATAGAATGTTTTATTATATGATAATCATCTGAAGAGAACTTTAAAACATTTAGTCTCAGGATCATCCCTGAACCCTGCCTGCAGAATCAAGTTCTGCAGAGTCAAAGGAGCTTGAAAATGATGGCTAATTATGCATTCTGTAACAACTGCAAGTTTCCTTTGTGCATCTTTGCCTGTGTAATGGTTTTGCTCAGGTGATGAAAAGTTCAGGATATTACCACCAGGGATACAGCCAGATACCTAAGACAGAAAGACAAAGGCTGATTCCTGTGTGCAGGGAACTCTGAGCAATTGCATAGAGCCAGGAAGACTATATTGTAAATAAGGTGTCTAATAGTTTTATAATAATTGGCAATCTTGAGGCATGACAGCATGTGTATATTTGTATTTTAGGTCATGCATCATGCCTTCTTCAACTTTCTGTCTCCAGTATTTAGCAGGAAATGTAGAAAATAGTAGGGTTTCTTTCAAATGTCTGCTACATAAAGAACTTGGATTCAGAAATTTTGGGTTTCAGTTTCTGTGTGTTGCTTATTACTTGTGTTTCATTATTCATCATCTGATTTTTTCTTTCAGTCTACCACCATATATAGAGTACCCATCGTGTATCAGATATTGTGCAATATGCTGCTAAAATAGAGCTGAATGAGAAATAGTTATTGTTGCTCTCTCGGTATCCAAATGGAGGGGCAGGAGGCAGACCAAGCTTGGTGCCATGTGATGAAATTTGTGAAAGAGTGAGTAGAGAGGAGGCAACCTGTTTCTGGAGAAGGTGAATGAGGAACAGTCAAGGATGGTTTCTTTTAGGAGAGGTGATGCTTGAATTGAGTCTTGATAAATGAATAGAAGTCAGCCAGGTGGACAGGAGTTAGACTAGAGGGAAGGTGTTTAATGAAGAAGGAACAACTTATGCAAAGGAATAGGGTTGGTGGATACCAGGAAAGGAATGTGATGTTTTAAAAAGGTATGTGTGGGACCACTGCAGGAGTTACCAGGAGACAGATCATGACCTTTTATGCCATACTAAAGGGACTGAACTTTATCCTAAAGTTTAAAGATGGGATGTGACATGGTGGAATTTATGAGTTACTTAACCTGGTAAGACTTTTTTTTTTATCCATAAAATACAGAAAGTATTAGTTATTTCTCTGAAGGTTACTGGGAAGATTGGATAAGATGATACGCTCGAGAATATCCTATAGCGTATGACAGAGATGGTAACCAGTATTACTAATGCTATTCATGATGGACTTGTTTGTCTGAGAACTCTGTGTGGGTTGCCATTTAGTTCCCACAGCAATGCACTTGACCATGAATCTGTAAGTGGGACACTTGCTGCTTTGAGTTGTTTCCTAGTAATAAGGGTAGATTTGACTTGATTAATTTTCATTTTAAAAATTCATTTCCCTTGAGACGCCAGGCCATGGAGGACGACGAGTTGAAGTTGCGCACCCGACGGCTGCTGACCGAGTTCCTGGAACACCGCACCCGAAGGCGCGGCACTGCCCCGCAGCAGCCGTCCACGCCCGAGGCCACCGTGATGCGCTCCCTGGCTGCTCATTCGTGGCTGGGTACCCCGCACTCCTGGTCCCGGAGGCAGAGAAACCGACTCGAGCAGATGGTCGACCAGATAGAGTCGCTAGTTCCAGACGGCACAGACCCCAACTGGTTGAGCGTGGTGGCGCTCGTGTCCTTCGCGGGGGCCCTGCTGGAGAGACCGCCGCCAGGCCACTCGCAGGCACGCAGGGAATGGGATGCCACCGTTGACCAGGACTGCCAGCGCCTGGTCACCTTCCTGTGCAGTTGGCTCACGGAGACGCACCGCACCTGGATGGAGGCGCAAGGTGGCTGGGATGGCTTTTGTCACAACTTCATGCCTGCACCGCCGCCTGGGGACAGACTGCTGGCTCCGCTTCTGAGGGCATGCCTTGTACTCATAATCTTAATCTGCTTGTGGATAAAAATCATGGTTGCAAAGTGTTTAACCAGTTTCCACCTGCCTACCTGTGACCAGACAAGTGGATTTGAGATGTGAACAAAACAGAGTAAAGCACCTTCTGAGGCATTTTTACCTGCATCCCTGTAAGGACTCCTCCGGTGATAATTCAGCCAGTGTTTTAACTCCTGACAAAAACTTAAAGGTGTGTTAGGACAAAGGCACCTGAGTGGCTCTTCTCTGATTGGGAAAAATGGGAATGCAAAGGCTTATTCCTCCAAAGAATTATCAAAGAAACAGCATTTCATTAAATGGGAAACCCGGTGCTACTTGCTACATTTAGATAAATATGAATATGAGACTCTCATCTCTCCACAATTTCATGTGCTACTGCTGGTCAGTTTATCAAGGCAATGGTTCAGGGGTGAAATGGTGAAATGATATGGGAAGTGTTCCAAGTACCACCCTAACAAAGAATGTAGTACTAACCCTTTATAAGGAATTCTTTCTAAAGCCTTTGAAATTGAATTTTTGTGTTTTAGAGTTAAGAATTTATATTTCTGACTTCAATAAATTGTTAAATGTCTTCAAAGTTTTAATAAATTTACGCATCTTTTAAAAAACTTCATTTTTCCTGACAGTTGTTTTAGAAGGCCTGTAAGTGAACCAGAGTAAAGAAGGAAGAAGTGGTTTATTTTATGTATTTCTCCTCCAAAATCACCTACAGTTAGCTGTCAAAATAGGCTATCTGGACCCTATGGTTTTTTTTTTAAAGATGGGCTATAAACCAAATTATTTGGTGAAGAGGATAAAGAAATAAGTAGTATTAATCAATCTCTTCTCTTCTCTCTCTCTCCTGTCTCCAGACAAGACTCTCGCACAGTGTATGGCTGCTTTCTTGCATCATGACTAAGCTGTGAGGAGGGGGGTATCTGCTCAGGCTCCTGTTCATAGATGGTTTCCAAGGTTGAGCAGGAAGGATATGTTAATTAAATAAGGCAAATTTTATTCCTGGGCTATGTCCTGTAATAGTGCTGCCTGCCTATTAATCAGAAGATCTCCTCATTGTTTTATCGTTCCAAGGATTGATCTATTAAAAGTAGTTGATTATTTATCACCAGCTTATTTTTTGTACTAGTTATGAGAAGTGAAGTAGAAATATTTTTGGTTCATTTTTGTTGTTGTTGTGTGAAGGGAGATAAAGGTTAGTAAATAAGAATCCAAAAGCAAACTATTTATTTTCTAAGTAGTCTCTTTTGTTTAGGCACTATATGTGTCTATCTGATACAAACCTTTATTTGGGATGAAACTTATTAACACTTTGGGAATCAAACTTTTAATCTTAGCTCCAATAGCATAAAACAAAAACAGTAACACAAAGGATTTTCAAAACCTGGATTAATGAATCAGTTAATTAATTAAGAAAAAAAATAATGTTGAAGCCAAATTATCTTTTATCATAGAAAATCTATTCAGAGTTACTGGACCTCAAATAATAAAGAGCATGCTACCTAACTTAATTCATTAAAAAATTATGGTCAATTAGCTTGCATTGCATTCTGAATGATAATTATTTGTCGATGACATCCATTGTCTATGTATAGTCTATGAAAGGACATCAAGATTTTAAAGCAAAGCTATAATTTTTAGTTGCATTTAGCATAAATAAGTGACAACTCAAAAGATCCTACATACAGTGGTTCTTGGATAAAAAATTTTTTCATGATAAAATTACATTTTTAATAAAAGCTATTATTTGTGGTAGTTTTCTGTATAAGGAAATTAGGAAGTAGGGTGTACTCTGCATTTTGCTGCTATGTGTCTAGGTAGGTATTAAATTGCTCATGCTCACTTAATGTCTAGACTTTATTTGTTCAATTGTAAATACAGACTTCTATGGTGCCTTTTCATTTCCAGCAGTATAATGAACTTTGATTACATTTCTTTTACAGTGTCCATTGAAATGTTTACAATTTCAAGGTAATAGAATTAACAATAACTTTCTTTGTTACTTTTCTGTAGTTAAAAGCAGATATCCACTGTGCATGCTTTGAAATTTCTCACCCAAGGTTTTGAAAAAGAAGCTGCTTAATGGAGGTTATAAATTTGCATGTAACAGTATAAAATAAACTTTTGATGAAGAGACATGGATGGCACATGAAAGTCTGGTCAAGGACTGACTTCATCATTTCATCTGCAGACCTCATTGAACAAGAGTATTCTTCAAACCATGAATAATCATGTAGACCATTTATCTTAGCCGTGCCACAGGGAAACAAAAAGGAAAGCAACAATGTCTTTTGAAGTCTGGCCCATTTGATAGGAACCACTGATCTGTTTATGACACACAGACTCAGTGCAAATGTGTGTCCAACAGTGTTTCAACACTTCACCGACAGCTAATTTGCAGCAAAGATATAAACTTGCAGATTGTGTTAATAGGTGAGTTTTTGAAGGTGAACAAGCAAAGCAATACTTGGTGTTTATATGTTCAATTTGTAGTTATGCGATTTTTTTTTCCCTCACTTTGAGTACTATAGGCAGTAAAGTTCTATTCCAGATAACCTTTCCGGAAAATCCAGCATACTTCTCTGAAACTTACCTTAACACTCTTTGTCAAGTGGATACAAGCATATTATTTTAATATTAATTAGACCTAGTGAGGAATTCAGAAAAGTGAACCAATTAAAAATCAGAACTTGTATTCTGGTTATTAGGACGTGCATGTTTGAGGTCAAGGGCCACAGATGAAACCTTTATAAAATTTTGTTTGGGGTTTTGGAATTTCACAGTCATTTTGGCTTCACGTGGATGCATGAAAACCATTGCAAAACAGAAAGATAAGAAAATAATTTGATTTTTAAATAGGCTGAAAATATGGAACACAGCTAAAAAAAATTCTTGCTTAGAAACAGCACAGAAGAAGCCGTTTTTCTAATTTGTATTAAAAATCTAAGGTGTCTTACTGGCCTTTTTGGTTAGAATTCAAGTCACTTGTGCAGTGTGATAACCGATTCATTTAAATTATGATCAGAAGGAATGTAAAGGCAGACTGATAATAAGAAATGTTTTTTTTTCTTTTTTTGGAACCACTTAAAGTTCTATAGAAACTTGAACACTTTGCTTTTGGATGAGTGAATGATTCTGCGTGATATCTGAAATGATGGTGATAAAAACAGATAGGCATATTACTTATTTTCCTGACTTTCTGTGGTTGATGGCTTGAATTTTCTGAGCTGTGAAGGTGGATAAGTAAATGTTCTTGTGTTTTGGTGTATGTGTAACTGGTGTAGCATACCTGCACGAAATTTGTCTGGCTAGGCAGAGTTCCCATACTGGGGCTCATGGCCTGGTTTGTCTACTCTGTTGGCTTATCTGGTTTCTTTACTGCAAGAGTCAGGAATGATCTCTTCATTTTAGTTCTGCCTGTGACTCTATGGAGGGATGCTTTTAGGTGAGAAGTTTGTGGGAACAATAGAAAAGCCTGGTGGAGAATGCCCGAATCCTAACTGTAGGGTGAGAACTCTGTTTATGTACTTAATTTAAGACAACTTTTCCATTTCAGTGTGATTCCGTGCCTCCTTTCCCAAAGAACAGTTAACAACCAAAACCCTACCAGCTTTTAGCTAATTTATTCAAGTTTGTCTCTGAATATTTTTTTTCCTTCACTTCCAGGATTTCTGAATTTTTCCTGTGTTCCATGCAATTTCTGACACATGCCATTCCAAACCAAATTGGCACTTATATCATAGACCTTCTGTGGAATTTATGAAAAATGGTCAGTTCCTCATATGTATTTGTTCAGTTTCTTTCAAAAAATGTTTTATTTCATATTTCACAAAAAAGTTTATATAAGACAAAGTAAATAGGGCAGCTTTCAAGAGCAAATGAATGAGACAGTGGTAATTCAAACTGTAGTATGGAAGCATATTTAATGCATACTTGAATGTTGTATATAAATAATTTTTTTAAAATACGTTTTTATTGATTTCAGAGAGAGGAAGGGAGAGGGAGAGAAAGAAAAAACATCAATGAGGAGAGAGAATCATTAATCAGCTTCCTCTTGCATGCCCCCTACTGGGGATCGAGCAGCAACCTGGGCATGTACCCTGACCGGGAATCAAACCTTGACCTACTGGTTCATGGGTTGATGCTCAACCAACTGAGCCACACTAGTCAGGGCGTGTATAAATAATTTTAACTATGCAGTCCAGGTTCCAGGTTTTTTAAAAAATAGATCTGCGTATATAAGACACTTGTGGTTATTTTAAGAGTGGTAAAGCCAATGTCAAGCTACTTATATTTGAGTGCCATTACAAATATAGGATGTTAACTAACAAAAAAGTAATCTTCAAAGATCTTCTCTTTGTCTCATGCTCACACCTTTGTAATCTCACTCCATTTGCTAATTTCCCTTCCTGGAGTACTGTTGAGTTCCCTCTGCATCTCACCCATCTCCTTTATCTGAGCTTTCTCATACATTGCCATTCTCTTCTTCTTGGAAAAAAAAACTGTACAATGATCCCACAGATAATTTGCTATCGCCACAGTCTCAATGATAGCAACAACGCCCGTTCTTATGCCCTGCCTTGAAAATTCAAGTGCTTTTTCACGGACATAATGAATTGAAGTTTACCTGGGGCCCAAGTATCTCAGAGTCTACTTTAAATACCTTGTCTTTATTTGTGGTGTTTGTAAGGAGGCATTTTCTAAAATGTCTGCCACAAATTACTATGGCCCTTTTCTTTTTTTCTTTACTAAAGCAGTATTTTAAAAACATTTTTTCACTGTGATTCACACTGAGAAACACATTTTACATTGTAATTCATTACACAAATATATGTACATATATTAATGAAACGAAAGCGAGTTAATGAGACAGTATTCATCATTGTGATGCACAGGCACTCACTTATTTTTCTATTCTTGTCTATTTTATTAAGAAACATGGTTTGATTTCATGACCTGCTTACAGGGCAGAAGCCTCGAGTAATAAGTGCTTAGAAACATATCTTTGCCTGCTGAGTGCTGTACACCCGTGAGCTCTCTGCTCTTTCACCTGTCTCCGTGAGAGGAGTCCACCAGCTCCTTCCTTTTGG